TTTCGACTGCACACGAAGTATGTGTCCGCATCCAGCCTATGCTCTCCCTGATAGTTCTTTGAAAAGACACTCACCCATCAGAGTTCTCGCAAAACGAGCTAAGAATCAAGAGGCGGAAACAATGTCAATGTCGGCATACGCAAATCATGTCAGAAGCACGCTGCTTAACGGGACAGCTTTCATAACGCAGCGAGTTACATCACGCTCTACAGTCTTCGACGCTATAACCTCCAAACGGCTCTCTTTAGTGGCCAACCATGACCAGTGTGTTCCTGACGGCACAGAAGAGCCTAGCGCTCGAAGGGAGACATACTGTGGTTTTCATGGGAGCCGCAGAAAATGTCAATGGAGACCAGCCGATGACGGGAGAATGTGCTAGACATCCTTGGCGCAGGCCTAAAGCCTTACATACGGTCTTGAAACTCGCAGCGGGGTGTGCTTGCCTTCGAGGCGGCTCAGCGAAGCTCTGTAGAAATAGATTTGTGGCTGCTTTCGATCCATCACAGCGGCCGTCGTGGAGAAAGAAATCCGAACTACACAAAAACGTTCCCGGATTTGAACAGAACTCGGAATGGTGAAGTGAAAGCGTGCTTCTGAGGAAGAGGTACCTGAATGTAGCAAGGAGGTTCTATGGAGGGTACTTATAAAAAGACCTGGGTATGAAATTTCCAAAAATCTTGAGATCGGCAATGACAGTGAAAGTCTCCTTAGTAGGCATGGACGACCTGTTTTCTCAGACTGCGTGATGTGTGTATGCAGTAGCAAATACATACATGATAGTCTGGAATAAGGCCGTAACGATGGCGTTAACCTAAGGCAGGCCTTTCAGAAGGAGTGCAGTTTCGCGAAATTCGTTTGAGTCCATCGAAAGAATGCCATGCAAACGTCGATTTACGTGCGGTCTTCCTGTCCTACGAGCTTCCAAAGTTTTGTGCGCCGAGACCACAGCGCGCAAGACTTTGAAAGCGTTTTGAATAGGCGCCAAAAATCCAATGAACCGGAAGGAGGAGTGCATTGCGATTACCACAACTCGCACCATATTAGTCTTTTTGTGGATTTGAATATAAGGCCAGGTCATCGGAGCAATAAAAGAAGAAGAGGTATAGTATTGCATAAGTGGTGCCTTTTATACCTCTCGATTTGTGCTTTTCTAAGAAGAGTGTGGCTATGCATGACTCTGGTTAGGTTTCAGCTTCGTATTTTCCAAATGAACATTATTTTGAGTCATAGTATGGCGTTTGAATGGATGGTTCACTGATCTGTTCGCCTTTCCAGGCTCTGACAAAGGCGATACTGTCAGAACGTTGGCCGTCAAAACAGAGAAGTTACTATCTTGGTGTACGCTAAACAAGCTTTGTCAGTCACCCCACATTAATAATCAGGTGTACTTGGAAGATAATGCGTCTGAGTTCCACTTCCTCAGTCGAGAACGAGGTGAAAAAAGAAAGGTACGGAAGCAGGGAGAGCGTAAGCAATCACTCCAAGTGCCTCGAACTGGCCAAAGTACGGAGCCTGCGTAGCGGAGTGGAATCATGTTAGTATTTAAAGAAACTTATAAAACTGATCAGAATAAGTTAAATGTCTCGAAAAAACAAAGCGTCTTTAGTTCGTCGCTCATGAGATTCCTTTGTGGCAAGAGAGCGCTTGGATGGTGACACACAGTGGTCCCAGTACCCGAGTATTCGCATTTGAAAATCTTTTGCAGAAACAAGTACGGCTTTCTTGGCATGCAAAAAGCAGAACAGAGAGGAGCTGAAGGCCAGACTCCTTGGACATCCCGAAAAAGCTCAAGAACTGGCTGAGCGGGAATGGAGCGAGATATTTTGCAAGGTGAAGCCATAAAAGCGGCTGGACCGATGATATTCAAGAATTCTGGTAGAAGTATCTTCCTGCCGCGAGATCCAGTTTCATTCACTGGTGTCTTTAGGCTTCTCAAGTTAAAGTAGTGTCAAGGCTAAAATAAAATCGCGTTAATGTCGAAGGAACCGAAGAGAGACCATGCGCATGGGTTAGAAGACCTCAAACATAGTATGCCTGAATACATCTTATAAGATATTGACGGCGAG